GCTCTTTCTCCAGTAAATCAAAGTTAGGAGGATTGCCTGAATATTCAGGGCATAGGTTGAAATAAATATAAAATTTGAGAAAATTCAGAACTAGTATGGATAGAAAAAAAAGCCAGGGATTGTACCTCTAATTTGCTACAGATAGAAGCAATTTTTTAGAATTTTTCATATTTTGCTAAATGCCATGGTATTTATCAAATATACTCAAATAGCTAAAGAGTTATTTAGCTAAATGATTATTTAGCTATTTACCAAAAAAGTTATAATTAATTTTAGCAACAAATATTTGATTTTTTCTGTAGTCCAGGTACTATGTTAGAAGGTGGGGAAAGATACAAAAGAAAAACAGTCACTTTCTTCAATATTTGACCATGTTGGAGGGAGCTATAACTTAATATACTATGAAAATACAAGAGGTTAAAAACAATAGAGAAAGGCACAGGGCATTATGAGAACATAGATAATAAAAATATGGCTTTCCAGTAAAAATAAGAATTGATCCAAGTCCTTAAGGAAGAAAAATAACTCACTAGGTTAAGAGAGATGTTCCACATAATTGAAACATTGGAGGGCATGGGATAAGAAACATGAGAGGGCATGGAATGTTGGGTAATTATAAATCGCTTAAGTGGATCATAGATTTTGATGGCAGGATTTTGGAGGAAAAAACCAAAACTAGACAAGTTAGCAGGACAGTATGTGTCAAGCAAAAGCATATATTTGGAAAAAGAATTAAGCACAGGCATTTTTGAAAATAAGTTAGTAATGGGTCTAGATGAGTGAAATACTTAGGAATCCAAGATTAGACCCTCCCCCTCTCAGGTAATTGTGTGCAAAAAAAACCCAAAACAAACGTATTTTCAAATTTCACGTGAGAAACAAAGTCTCTCAATTATAAAAGAAAAAAAATGCAAATAAGAACTTTTAGATATTCTCTATGATTCTAAATAGCATCTTTTCTCCCAAAGTCCTTTGTTTTTCAGAAGTCCTTTCCTCAGAGAAAGTGGATAAGAGAAGCCTATGGCAGAATTCCCAGTCTGTTGCTGGATCTCGGTGGTTGCGGAGAGATGTATTGGTGTGGTGGATGCGGTAATGCTCTTGCTTCACAATCCCACTGTCTTCCTTTGCCATATGTGCTGATTTTGAGAGCATTCCCTCTATAAAATTCCTGCCTTGTAACCTTTCCCTTAAATTCCGTTTCTCAGGGAACTCATCCTGCCAAAAATGAGTAGGAAAGTAAGAAAAGAGTCTGACTAGCAAGCTTTCCTGCCAGGGTTAAAGAGACATGCCTGCTGGTGAAGCAAGTTTCATAGATTGCTCCTTGGTCCCAAGTTCTAAGCAATGGCTGAAGAGAAACCAAGTGATTTCATGTGAGAGGCGCATTTTGGGCATCAATAAATTTTAGAGTTAAAAATTGATTCCTACTCGGACACTTCAAAGATAGAAAAACTGAAGGTCAAAAAAGCCAAGATTTCCCTAAAGCTACATAACTAATTAAAAGTTGGGCTGAAACTAAATTCCCTATCTTCTCACTCCAGTCTTTTTCAATAAACCTCTGCTTCTCAAATAGACGTGTCCCCAGGAAACTGCATCAACAGGTCAGATTTGCTTGTAGTCACAGGAGAAACATGAAAATTTGTGGAGAAGTATTTCATATAATGTTGATATCACAGCATATATATCATAGAATGTCAAGAGCATGTGACTTTTAAGATTAAAAAATGAGAGACTCAAGATCTTTGGAATTCAGTTATGTCTTCAGAACCCCTTTGAGTATAGTTGAATCTCCCCTGCCGCTGGAATTGTCAGTGTAAATATCTGAAAAGAACTGCAGGAAAAAAAAATAACATTATTCCTAAAGAATGGTTTCATTTCCATCTTGGTTATGCATTCTAGCTTTATGTTACTATAACATATTTCCTGTTTTCTCAAAATTCTTGTTATAGTCTCCAAACTGAAAATGACGGGTGATAATGACCTCATCTTCTAAAGAGGAGTATTAAACATATCTAGGTAGAACATGCTAATTGGTCTAGCTACCATCTCTCCCAAAATCAATATGAGAGAAAGCTAGAGATTTAATTTAGAAGGTTATCTTTCAGAAGGATTTAAAGAAGTTGAAAAGCACTGTATCACATCCTGCCCCCATACCAAACCAAGTGAAAAAATCGCCAAAAGTATCACCCAGAAATTGTGGATAACACAACACATGCTAGCAGAGCTGAAACAATTTGTAGGACTCTCTCTGTCACTGTCTGTGCAGAGAATGGAGGTCTTAGAATAACTTGACAACAGTTTATTCAGAACTGCCAAACTGTTGGCACATAATGACTCCACCCAAACCTCTGTATTAAGGGAGAATCACACTCTAACATAGTCTTTAGCATCACAAAGCTTCGTCTCTAGGCTGATCCCAGACCTCCCCAGCAACCCTGTTAAAATGCTTACCTAAGAAAATTCTACCCTGCCAGAGAATTTATTGTTTCGCCAACTCAAGTCCTGAAGATTGACCTCTGACCTCTCCTTCTTAAAACATTTACTTAAAAAACCTTAAAATCCTGTATCCTTCTTTTGTCCCTGTGAGATGTATATGTATCAGAAGTGTCTTTTTAGGGACTGAGAGCCATTCTTTGTAATCATCAAGAAGGATAGGGCCTGCGTCTTTCAATCTCTCAAGGGATAAAGTCTGGACTTAGGTGATTGCCAGCTAGCAGCCACAGCTGGCCTCGTTACATTTACACTGACCAACCCTTAGTAATTTGTCACTTCTCCAGCTCTCCTTGTTCCAGCTTATCCCCCTCCCTTGTTCTCCTTTTAAAAGGCTGGATCACCTCTGTACAAATCAGAATGGAGCTAGACTGTGTCCCCTACTGTCCTTAGTTACTAAATAAAATGTTTCCGCAGCGTTAACTAATGTCCAGCCGTATTTACTTTGACATTCTACAGTTAGGAGACAGGGAATGAAAACTGGAGCCTGCCTTTTGCTGGGAGAACCTTGAACGCAGTCAGAGGGCTGGAGTAGCCTGAAACATTAGGAAGGAGAAGGAAGATGTACCTATGAGTTTATTGCACTTCTACCAGTTGGCAGGACAGTGACGCCTGAGATTTTGTGGGATTCATTTTTTAAGGAAGGTGGCTAGGCTCATGTCATCTAGAAATAATTTTATCTAATAAAGTGTCTACTTTTCAGGGACACTAGCCAAAAAGGACAGATATGTACTTCTTTGACAGTTGTTAAAGGAAATTTGTAAGATTCTTAGTTGAGAGTGCACAACCTACAACCTGGAAAGGTGTTGCAGGAAATCTTCAACAAACCCCTAATGCAGTTGCAATGACAGAATGCATTGCTGTCCAAGCAGAATTACAATTAGCACCTGTGAAGGAATAGGACGTTTGAGGCTTTCTCCAGTTCCCACTATCCTGATCTGACCCTTAAGACTCTAGCGTTGGGGAGGAAATGTATCAGAGGGAAGGCAGAAAGGTGGGACAGTTTCAAACTGGGTGTGGCAATGAAGTTTTAAATTGGATTAGACTTTCTAATACCTGCAAGCGACCTGAAAGCCATGGATATACCCAGGTTGTCACAAAACAAGAGGATAAGAGAAATACGACAGAACATTTATTTACTCAGGGCAGGAAGAAATGAAATTATTCTTATGTACCAAGTCAGGTCATTTAATAACTAAACACATTACTATATCAATTTAGATGGCATTATTTCAATGCTTATACCCTTATTTTTATTTATTTATTTGTTAGTTAAAGGAGAAATTTTAAAAGATATTCACAGTAGTTAAATAAAAAAATTGTTGGCATGAAATATGCCTTAGTTTAAGTTCTGGTTTTGCTAATCACTGTATGACCCATGCTAATTACTTTCTCTGTGCTCAGTTTTTTCCATCAGTAGGATGGGAATACTAACAGTTGTATTTTACACATTTTGTGATACCTTCCAAGACCACCATAATTCCTCCTTCTTAGGCAACGGCTTTCTGATCTGCAGTGTAGATCAATGCGATGGGTCCCAGTAAAAAGGCTGGCATGACAAACTTTTGGTCAGAGTGACTGAGCGAGGGGTAATCCCCTTAGTCAAACTGGACAACCAGTGTCTTTCCCCCAGGTTTGCTCCAACAATGATTCAGTCCTTCATTGAAAGAAGAACTCCACAGTGTTCATTCAAAATCCACTGCCAGTCAGAAGATGGTAGGGAGAATGAAACACAACTCCAACTGAGAAAATATTGAGAGAACTTTTGTTACTAGTTCAAGATCTCTTCTACAAACATCTTTGCATTTCCATTCTGGGATCAATGAAATGTCATATTTATATTTATGTAATAATATTTTTTTCTTCTATTCTTAAGTTAACTTGGATCAGATAGGTGGAATAGTTCAAAGAGCTTGCATGCCAATCCCAATTCCAGAATTTACTGACTAACCATGGACAATTTACTTAAACTCTCTGCCTCCATTTTTTTTTTTTTTTTGAGTTGGAGTCTAACTCTGTCACCCAGACTGGAATGCGGTGGCCGCTCCCGGCCACTGCAGTCTCAACCTGCTGTGCTCCAGCGATCCTTCCGCCTCAGCCTTCCGAGTAGCTGGAATTACAGGCATGCGCTACCACGCCTGGCTGATTTTTTAAAATTTATTGTAGAGATGAGATCTCGCTGCCCAGGTGGGTCTCGAACCCACGGGCTCAGGCAATCCACTCACCTCAACCTCCCAAAGGCGCGAGATTACAGGCTGAGCCACCAAGCCCGGCTTCTGCCTCCATTTTTTTCCTCTTGAGTTGTATGGAAATAATTATATTTACTTCAAAATAATACTCATCATGAGGATTAAATGAGTCACTACAAGTTAAGATTAGAGAATAATGCCTGGCGACTTCCAGCAAGATGGCGACAGGTCAGCTTGGTCTGTGAGACCCTCCACAAAAGATAACACATAAAGACTCTAGCTCTCTTCTGGGAGCTGCAGTTCCCATCGTCGGCAGCCTACTCTTCACACGGAGCTCAGCTGTAACCACCACTCAAACATCATGGCGATCTGAGTGGCCATTGCAGCCATGGATGCCGCCGCCGCCGCCGTGGCCATCACCCCACCCATGCCTGAGGTGACCCACGACTTCAGACCGTGAAGCCCCTGCAAGCAAGATCTACTGAGATCGCCGCCGTACCACTGCCAACATCACGCCCCACCTTTCGCCCGGATCCAGGCTCGTGGAGCTCCTCCTGTGTACTGTGAGGTGGCTGCTGCCACTGCAGCTTCCATTGCCAGCTCCCTCCCATCTTGGGCAAGCAACTGCAGATAAAGATCATCTGGAGTGGTGAGATGCCACCACTTGCTGGCGATTCAAAGTAACAACACCGAAATGGTAAAAATAGAAGCTTGATAAATGGACACAGGCCAGATCTGAGTGGTGAACTGGGCAGGGAGCCCAGATCTGAACTGCCCTTCACAGTAGGCCAGGGGCAACTGACCCTAACTGTGAACAAGCCTACCAGCCTGCAAAGACAGGTAGAAATCAGAGTTGAAAAGACATTGAACTTAAACGAAAAGTCTCAGAGTGTGCTTGATTGGTTCTGTTAGTTTACTAACTTGATTCTATTCCTTTTGTGCTATTCTTTTTTTTATCTGTAAACCCCATCTTTGTATAGAGGAATAGCACACCAATAAGGAGGTTGGTTAGTTTATATGTTAGCATCATTGTATGCTTTAGTTTTTTCATATGGTAGTTGGTTAGTTTGTAGTCGTGGTTTATTGTTTTTATTTGTTTCAGTTTTTGTGTCTCTCTTTATTTGTTGGTAGACTCATCTGTTTTCCCTCTTACTCCTTTCTCTCTCCACCTCCCTCTTTCCCCCCACTGCCCGCTCCATTCTCTTCCCTCTGTTAACCTCATTTTGCTTTCAAGGGGTAAACCTACAACCCCACTGCATGGACAGATTCCAAGGGAGTGGGAAGTGGGTTTCAGATTATCTATACACCTCTCAGTGGATACTGGGATCTGCAGATAGATTTTGAATCACAGCTCCCCTCTTAAGTAAATCTCAAAACTGCAAAAAGGACCACCCCCAACCTACAGTCTAACTCCAGTATTGAACAAAGCAAGAGGATATACATAAAGAAGAATAGGAGATTGAACAAACAGATGTAGAAGTAACCCCTCCACCCCTGAATAATAGAATTAAAGCAGATGGAGAAGTGGAGGAAAGGAAAAAGTAGGGAGAAAGAATCTGCACAAATGAAAAAAAACCAAAAGAAGAATATAGGTCTCACACAGATCCCTGGGAGGTCAGATACTGTGAAAACAGACTTTGGAACACAAACGATGAAGAACCCCCAGAATGACTGGTCACATGCAACAAACCCAGGCATCAAGACATTAATAGAGAGAATAAAAACAATTAAGGAGACACAAGAGGAAAATAGGAAGGAGCTGATGACCGAAATAACAGCAGTAAAGAATACTGTGATGGAAATAAATAACAAACTAATAAGCATGGAAAGCAGAATTAGCCAAACAGAAGAAAGAGTCTCAGAGTTTGAAGACCAAAACACAGAACTAACTCAAACTGTCAAAAACATAGAAAAGAAGCTTAAAAAGACAGAACAAAACCTTCAAGAGACCAATGATTACTTCAAGAGAAAAAACATATGAGTAATTGGCCTTCCTGAGGCAGAGAGAGAAACAGAGGCCACATTGGAGCAAACATTTCATGAAATCATTCAAGAAAACCTCACTCATCTTAACAGTGGTGCAAAAATTCAAACAAGAGATTCAGAGAACCCTTGCAAGACAACAAATGAGTAAACCAACTCCCAGACACAAAATAATTCACCTAAACAAAGTAGGTATGAAAGAAAAATTCCTAAAAGCAGAAAGAGAAAAAAGTCAGACTATCTACCAGGGAAGATCAATTAGAATAGCAGCAGATTTATTTATAGAAACCCTCCAGGCTAGGAGAACTTGCATCCCTATCTTCAAAGTTCTAAAAGACAAACAATTTCAACTGAGAATAACCTACCTAGCCAAGCTAAGCTTCATCAGTGAGGGAGAATTGAAATCTTTCCCAGATATCCAATCCCTAAGAACCTATGCTGCCACCAGACCACCTCTACAAGAAACACTTAAGAAAGTACTGAACACAGAATAAAAGGAAAAAAGAACAACAACATTCTTCACAAGAGTACAGGCAAAAGAATAAAAACACACATGAACCAACTCCAAAACCAAAAGAAAGACAACAAACAAACAGGAACAATAGCAACAATTCTGTAAGAACATTATGATAGGGATCAACTCTTACATTTCAATAATTACCCTGAATGTGAGTGGACTAAATGTACCACTGAAAAGACATAGAATGGCAAAATGGATAAAATATCACCAGGAAACAATTTATTGCCTTCAAGAGACTCACTTCGCTAGAAAAAACACTCACAGACTCAAAGTAAGAGGATGGGAAACAAATTTTCAGGCAAACGAACACAAAAGAAAGGAGTAGTCATGATCTTAATCTCAGACAAAATACCCTTTAAGGTATCAAAAATTAAAAACGATTCAGTAGGCCACTACATAATGATAAAAGGTTCAATCCATCAACAAGAAATATCCGTCCTAAGCATATATGCACCCAACATAGGAGCGCCAACTTTCATAAAGCAACTGCTAGGTAAACTTAAAAAAGATATTGACTCCAACACTATCATAGCTGGGGACTTCAATGCCCCACTCACAACCATAGACAGATCATCAAGACAAAAAATCAGCAACGAGATCCGAAACCTCAATGTGACCCTTGACCAAATGGACTTAATTGATACCTACAGAGCACTTCATCCAACCACCACAGAATATACATTCTACTCATCACCGCAAGGAGCATACTCTAAGATCGACCACATACTTGACCATAAATCAAGTATAAGCAAATTTCAAAATATTGAAATTTTGCCATGCACCTTCTTGGACCAGAGTGGAATAAAAATAAACAACAACACCAACAAGTTTCCCCCAAACCCCACAAAGACATGGACACTAAACAGCATGATGTTAAACAACTCCTGGGTCAATGATGAAATCAAAACAGAGATAAAAAGATACCTGGAAACAAATGAAAATGAAGAAACATCTTACCAAAATCTCAGGGATCCCATGAAAGCTGTAGTAAGAGGGGAACTCATATCTCTACAAATGCACATGAAGAAAATGGAAGGATCACAAATTAACAGCCTAACAAGTCACCTAAGGAACCTGGAAAAGCAAGACCACCAAAATACTAACTTCAGCAGAAGAATTCTGATGACCAAAATAAAGGCCCAAATCCGGGACATAGAAGACAAAAAGATAATACAAAAAAAATCAGTGAAACAAAAAATTGGTCCCCTGAAAGTATAAAGAAGATCGATGGTCCCCTAGCCAGATGATCAAGAAAAAGAGAGAAAAAGCCCAAATAAACACAATCAGAAACACAAAAGATGAAGTCACATCTGACCTGAAGAAATACAAAGATCATTGAGACTACTATGTACACTTGTATGGAAACAAACTTGAAAACCTTAAGGAAATGGAAGACTTTCTGATATCACACAACCTGCCTAGGTTGAAATAAGAAGAAATTGAAACCCTAAATAGACCAATAACATCAGAAAAATTGACTATGTAATAAGAAAACTACCAAAAAAAAAAAAAAAAAAGCCCTGGACCAGATGACTTTTGAGCAGAATTCTATAAGGCATTTAAGGACGAGCCAATACCAATCCTACTGAAAGTATTCCAGGTGATTGAGAAAGATGAAACTCTCCCCACATCATTTTATGAAGCTAATATCACATTGATACCCAAGCTAGATAAAGACCCAACAAAGAAAGAGAACTACAGGCCAATATCTTTGATGAACATAGATGCTAAAATTCTCAACAAGAGCCTAGCAAACCGGATACAACAACACATCTCAAAAATCATCCATCATGACCAAGTAGGCTTCATCCCTGGGATGCAAGGCTGGTTCAACATTCGCAAGACAATACATGTAAATTAAATACATCAACAGATGTCAGAACAAAAACCACATGATTATATCATTAGATGCAGAAATAGCTTTTGATAAAATCCAATACCCCTTTTTGGTAAAAACCCTCAAACATCTTGGCATACATGGAACATACCTCAAAGCAGTAAAAACCATCTATGAGAAACACAGAGCTAGCATACTCCTAAACAGACAAAAATTGGAACCATTTTCCCTGAAAATTGGAACAAGACAAGGATGCTCACTCTCTCCCCTCCTATTCAATATAGTATTGGAAGTCCTGGCCAGAGTAATCAGAAAAGAGAAGGAGATAAGGGGTATCCAAATGGAAAAGAGGAAGTCAAGTTATCTTTCTCTGCAGACGACATGACTGTGTACCTTGAAAACCCAAGAGAATCTGTCAAAAGCATCCTTGCACTGATAAAGGACTTTGGCAAAGTCTCAGGGTATGAAATAAATGTGCAAAAGGCAATCACATTTCTTTATACCAATAATAAACAAATAGAAACCCAAATAAAAAGCACAATCCCCTTCACAATAGTCACAAAAAAAATGAAATACCTTCCTATCAAGGGACGTAAAGGACCTTTACAATGAAAACTACAAAACACTACTCAAAGAAATCAAAGATGCCACAAACAAATGGAAAAATATCCCATAATCATGGACTGGAAGAATCAACATTGTGAGGATGTCCATCTTACCTAAGGCAATCTACATATTTAATGTAATACTCATCAAATTACCAGCAACATTCTTCTCAGAGCTAGAAAAAAACAATACAGGAATTCATATGGAAACACAAACGACCAAGAATAGCCAGAACAATCTCAGCAAAAAGAAAAACAAAGCAGGTGGCATCACATTACCAGACTTCAAACTTTACTATAAAGCTACAATAATCAAAACAGCTTGGTATTGGTACAGGAACAGGTATATAGACCAATGGAATAGAATTAAGATTCCAGAAGCAAAATCTCAATTTCTCAACCAACTCATCTTCGACAAATTTCTACCATCTACCACTGGGGAGAGGAGAACCTATTCAGTAAATGGTGCTGGGAAAACTGGCTGAC